CAATTTTTTATTTCGGTTTCGGTGTTTATTCACGAGTTCGGTCAATAAACAGTTAGGACAATCTTGCGACATGTTGTAACAATGAGGTTGAACAGCAACAATGATGCACACACTGTTGTGTAGTAAGTAACCCAATCGACTATTCTGAATTCCGCATCATCCTTCATTATATTTGTATCATGGTGTAGTGGGGGGGAAGGAATTTAGTTCACACCAGTCAGAATCAATGGTGGAGCCACTGCTCTTTCGCAATCGCAACTTGTACATAGTGCTATTGGTGGGTATGAGTGATTTGAGAGTTGAAACATTTTTTATTGTAGTTGATTCCATTCTTGCCCATTTAGAAGGCCAACTTTCATTTCGTGTACCATTACTATCGAAACATATGAATACTTCGCTTATATTATGAGGTTGTGCGATATAGAGAAAGCCTTGATGAATCACTTGTAAAACTGAACATTTTGGTGTTATCATGGTCACAACTTCTGACATACATGAAATTATCATTTACTTTCAAGCCATATTTATTGAACACGTCATACCCGCAACTGCTACCCACATGTTTGTAAAACCAAACATCTGGTGGATATCTTTGCGAGAATGTGTGACGACCGCATATTCAGTAAAATCTTGAAAAAATGAAACAAACTGATTTTGATATTATACTCTATTGCATAAAAAAATTTTCATACAAATAAAAAACATTTGTTGATGCACACATGCAATTTGAATTCGTATAATGAAAACATCATGGTTCGGACTGTTGTGAAATAGGTTGTTCATCGAACTCAACTACTGGAACAGAAGTGAACCGTCGAATATATTTAGCTTTCTCCCTTCCTTTGATATGTATTAGATCGACTCCATCACATAGACTTTTCAAGATATTTCCAAACTGATGCAACGGAGTGTATCCTTCGGTCCACTCTATACTGTGAAAATTACGAACCAGCCAATTAGCCTGCTTTTGTAAATTCGGAGGTGAAAAGTCAAATGGAAATGGTGGTTTGAAAATATAATGGAAAATTTTCACTCCATCGAAGGCTGCAAACTCTTTGACAATGAATTTGTTATTTTTTATGTCGAATCCTTGCACATCTATAATTAAACTCATATCGTAATATTTGAGAAATTTTTGAAAACTGATTTCTTGGTAGAGTACAATTCTATCAGCCTTTTCAGTATCTTCATGTTTTCCATATGTTCCCTCAGACGTAATTCATAACTGGATAACATTATATCAACTGAATGAAAGAGAATGTGCTCCTCAATATATGACAAAAATCTGATCATGCGCATTAAAGCTGCTTCACTATTTGCGTTAGAGGGTTATAGGAATATTCTTTTTCATGTAGAACGAGACAAAAAGCAGTGGTTACCTTTGGAGTATTACTGCCAGTTTCAAATTCAACCCGCATCACTATTGATCCTGTTTGGATGACTTCTTTCTGTCGTGAACAATCAATGTGAACAATTGGTGCTTCATCTTTGACCTCCTTCGGGGTCAATATCGGCTCGTTATTTTTCAGATGATTTTCAGAGTAATTTTTTTGAAAGTTTGAGTACATCTCATAACGTGTAGCATAATTGTTGTTTTTGAAATCTGAATGTGAATCATTGCATGGACATCTTTCAGAATTGAGGAACACTCTAATATTGGTGAGGTCGATATGATCAAACTTACTCATATCACTCGTTATTCTCCCTTTTCTACTAGTTTGAAATGCTATTATTACATGTCTAGGCGTTTCAACCTTGGTAGTGGCCTTGACTGGCGACGTATGTCTATTTGATTCACTTAAAGATGGATACCCAATCAACTCCCAGCTCCTGAACCTAATTGGGAGTGCAATACTTTTATTAGTTATTTTCGTGATTCGAAGTTGTTCTTGAATGCTTGGAGTTATGTGGGGAACTCTCCAAAATACTTTTGTAAGCTCTACTTTTGGTTTTTCTGAATCATATATGCTAGTTATGGCATCTGAATCTTTACTAGATCTGATTAAGACTAATTCTTGCCGCATGTTTATTATTATTCTCCTGATATCTTGAAAGAACCCAGCGAACATTTTCAAAGGGAAACACACGTTGAATTGACCGTTAGTACCAACTAGAATTTTTTTTTGGTTCGATATTCTGGGGAACCACCCCGCATTTCGCATAGAGACGCTTTCGTTTTCATTTAGTGATAAATAATTTTTCAATGTTGATGTTAATCTCAATTTCCTCACTGAATCAATTACAATACCGTTCAATTCATATCGAAGTTCTCGGAAGAGGAATGCTATTGCATTATTAATGAATTTTAGTTTTGTTGGAACGGCACTTTTATCATCTAGCAGGGTACCTTCTATGTATAGATAACTGTTACATGGTAATGTGAAGGCTTCAAGGTCAGCAATTGGCACTCTAATTTCATCGTTATAATCAAGGTTTCCAGCGATGTTTGGCTGATATGTATGAAACTGATAGTCTTCAATTGTAGTATCACTGAAAGGCTGACCTGTGATATTCAATAATTCCAATTTTTGAAAACTTCTAATCCAAGAGATATCGAAAACTGACGATTTTCTGATGTTAATATTCCGGAGGTCTTCTTCATACTAGGACATCTCTTTCCATTGTCTTGTCTTCTATAGTATTGTTCAGGGGAGTAAAACGGTGTTGAATGAAAGAATCTCCACACCATGATCAAAGATCCTTCTTCCGAAGGTGAAGTCGAACGGTGATTTCTTCTTCACGGAAATCTATGATATTTCCTGATTGATCAATAATTTTCACAGTTATATTTTTTTGTTCTAAAATTTGTTCTATCCGTCATTCGGTTGCCCCCTTACGAGCAACCCTCAAAAGTCTTCGAAAGTCTTGTGCGAGCAAGGAATGACGGGGGCCTTACCTTTTAACGTGTGATCCCAAACACTTAATATTGTTGATAGTCTTCACGGAAACTTGATAATACAGGATCGTAACAGGTGATTCGTTGATCTTGTATCCGGTGGGAACTTTGACATTGAACTGATGAATTAAATGAACTGGTTCACCATTTGAATAGCTTCCGATGGCCAAGTTACAATCTATACAGATAGTATTGACGCTGAGAATCTTGACCTGGTGGTCTGAAACACTTCTTTCATCGGCATTCAGCAATCGTTTTCTGAATCTAAGTAGTGATCCAATTGTGTTGTCCACTCCAAAATTGATTCGACTATTAGTTTTTATAGTCACCTTGGAAGTATTCAAATCAGGTGTAATTCGAAGAACTGCTTGGTTGTATTTATCATTCATAGCATTTCGAATAACGTTTGCTAGATCATCAATTTCATATGATCCAGTAAGAATTTCAAATCTATATCTATCGTTCTCACCCCAAACGAAGATTTTATTCGTATTATCAATATTTGGTATTTAGTTGAAACTGTCAAAATTAGCTAACCCAGTTTCATATTCGTTTTCATCATTCAAATATAGTCTAGTCGAAAAATCCAAAAAAGGCCTCCATTAAAATTTTAGAAGCATTTCGTATTACTTTTTGGCAAAGGGTGTTTTTCTACTATTTCGACCCTGCTGATTACGAAAATGCCGGTTGCCAAAGCGAAATCGCAACCGGAAGTGAGATATTCAAGATGGCGTCCGAAATGGCATCAAAACACAATTTTGCTGCTAAATCTCCCTTGTTTGAGGCAGGAACGCGACCAAAGGGTCTCTTTATATGTTTTCAGACATGAAGAAAACAAAAACACACAAACTAAACTCGTTCGTTGAATATTCTAAAAAATATGACAAAAGCGGTCAAAGTTGCCCTTTTTGGTTTTTAGCAAATAATATACTTTGACTAATGTATTATATCGGTCTATGCACATTTGAGACATTCAATGTAACACTTAAAACAAGAGGTATTTCTTTAGAAAGAAGTGAAATTATTGTGTGTCTCCAGAGTTCAGGCAAGAACGTTTACAGGGAGTGCACAGTTTGATGCAAGAGACATTGGCTCATCTACAACTGCAATTTTTTGTATTACAATGTCCTTTGCAATGACAGACAACTATTTCTGGGCACGTCTTAGGAATGGGATCCAGTGTTATTAAACGAGGAACAACTTGTTCTCTCTGCACAATCCAGCCACAGTCCTGCAGCCTAGGTAGTGACGGTTTGGGGATATGCGCATTCTCCCAAACACACCTGAGATAAAAAAATATATATATTATATTCATTTCGTTTTCTTTTCTGTCAATTTGCGTTTTAGGTACGCTTACCTGGTAGTTGCATCTCCTAATATGAGGACGAAGTGCATCAGTTGTCGGTGGGAGAAATTCTGGCTTTCTTACAGCTCCAAATAAATAACTTCGGGCATCGTTTGAGCATGTGATGCTGGAATCAACCTGTATGAAATCAGAATTTCTGTGTGTACTTCATTTCAATTCAATATCATCTGGAAGATATTCAAGTGTAAGCATTTTCACCTTATACAGTTTGACGACAAATTTCTCGACATTGCTAAGGACGTCCTCCTCAAGTGGCGACTGTCCGAGGCGTCCCAGAAGCTCGCAGTTTGTCCCAGAAAAAGCCTTCCATGCTCCAACTTTCGTGCGCAGAGACATTGAGGACTGCAACGTGCCGCTGCCAAAGAACTGGAGTTGTTTTTATCAGAAGACAAAACTGATTTATGCAGGTTTTTGTCCTAGAGAATTATGCAACATAACTTTGGCGATCTTGAAGTAGTTATCTCCGGCGGCTTCACTGAGGAAGAACATGCTCAGTCCACGAATTTGCGTCGAAATGTTGATTGCCTGAAATCATCACACGAGGAAGCTGACACGCGCATGGTTCTTCATGCCGTTCACACCACAGCTCATAACGTTGTTGTGATGACGAGGGACACCGACGTTGTTCTTCTTCTTATCTACCACTTCGCTAAAATGAAATGCTCCCATTTGTGGGTAATGAGTGGCACTGCACGTGACACCAAGTACATTCCTGTACATGATATATGCAGAAAGCTTATGCCGGAACAAGTCTCCCATCTTCTTGCTTTCCATGCAATAACCGGCTGCGATTCGACGTCTGAGTTGGCGTCTATCACGAAAGTTGAAGCGTGGAAGGCTTTTTCTGGGACAAACTGCGAGCTTCTGGGACGCCTCGGACAGTCGCCACTTGAGGAGGACGTCCTTAGCAATGTCGAGAAATTTGTCGTCAAACTGTATAAGGTAAAAATGCTTACACTTAAATATCTCTCAGATGATATTGAATTAAAATTAAGTAAACACAGAAATTCTGATTCCATACAGGTTGATTCCAGCATCACATGCTCAAACAATGCCCGAAGTTATTTATTTGGAGCTGTAAGAAAGCCAGAATTTCTCCCACCGACAACTGATGCACTTCGTCTCCATATTAAGAGATGCAACTACCAGGTAAGCGTACCTAAAACGCAAATTGACAGAAATGAAAACGAAATGAATATAATGTATAAATTTTTTTATCTCAGGTGTGTGTTTGGGAGAATGCGCATATCCCCAAACCGTCACTACCTAGGCTGCAGGACTGTGGCTGGATTGTGCAGAGAGAACAAGTTGTTCCTCGTTCAATAACACTGGATCCCATTCCTAAGACGTGCCCAGAAATAGTTGTCTGCTCGGTTGTCTGTCATTGCAAAGGACATTGTAATACAAAAAATTGCAGTTGTAGAAAAGCCAATGTCTCTTGCATCAAACTGTGCACTCCCTGTAAACGTTCTTGCCTGAACTCTGGAGACACACAATAATTTCACTTCTTTCTAAAGAAATACCTTCTGTTTTAAGTGTAACATTAAATGTCTCAAATGTGCATAGAACGATATAATACATTAGTCAAAGTATATTGTTTGCTAAAAACCAAAAAGGGCAACTTTGACCGCTGTTGTCATATTTTTTAGAAATTATATTCAACGAACGAGTTCAGTTTGTGTGTTTTTGTTTTCTTCATGTCTGAAAACATATAAAGAGACCCTTTGGTCGCGTTCCTACCTCAAACAAGGGAGATTTAGCAGCAAAATTCTGTTTTGATGCCATTTCGGACGCCATCTTGAAAATCTCACTTCCGGTTGCGATTTCACTTTGGCAACCGGCATTTTCGAATTCAGCAGGGTCGAAATAGTAGAAAAACACCCTTTACCAAAAAGTAATACGAAATGCTTCTTAAAGTTCAATATCCCAAAAATTTGTCTAGTCTAATATATTGGAGGATTCAAATCGTAAGTGAGAATCGATGAACAGCCACTTAAAGTAAAATTCAAAGACATATTGTTTCACTGAAAGTTTAATTTCAAATGACGCTCCATTTTACAAATTCTGGTTATATAAAAAAAGTAAACAATTTTGCCCACATTGATATGAATTAAATGATTGTACTGAATCATAATTATATATAATATCATTGTTGCCACCGTCGCTTGAAAAATATTGAATCAGTTTCAAAGGTGGAGATAAATCTCCATAACTATTGAAATAAACTATTTCATTATCGCGCTCAATATAAGCAGTCCAATGTGTTCCTTCACCTACATTCGAATCTAGATTCAAGATTCCAGACTCGTTTTTTCTTATTTTCTCAGGATGGGTATCTCTCATGAAAATTCCCCTAAGGTATGGTATTTTGAGAATTCTCACATATTTGCACAAGTCAATATTAGTCAGTGGTCGGCAAGGTAGCTTTATCGGGAGTTTTTTGCGTATGGCTTCAAATAGATGCCATAGCCCTTATATGGTCTCAAATATAGCCCTTTTCCAGTAGCTGCCTTCTCCATTTCTCGATTATGTCGCTGTTCTTCAGCTAGTCGTTCCCGATCAGCTTTCGCATCATTAACCGCTTCGGCGATACCCGCGGCACCTCCACCTACTGCTCCGAGTGCTCCTAGAAGTGGGAGTAAAAATGGTAGAAATCCTCCAATTTTAGGCGCTGGAATGATTCTTTGTTTTTTAATCTTTTTCGTAGGTCGCTTGGCCAATAGATTCAAAGCATCACCTTTTTTCTTCCGTGATACCTTCTTTTTCTCACCCACGCCAGCATCAGATGCCTTGAAACGCTGTGCAGCTAGTTCGGCCAGACGCTTATCAGCAATATTCCTATGTTGTATGTCTTTGAAAATCGAATAAGCTATATCGTGTTGTTTGCAAGCCTCATCTAGTTCGTTAACACCTTCATCGCCTCTCAGTAGTCTTTTTTCAAGTTTAGTCCCAGGTCCACAATAATTATATCCTGGCACATGAAGTTCTATTGGGAGCTTATTAATTAGAGTATCGAGGAGTCTTCGACCTTTTCGTTTTACGCTTCGACAACGACTGACTAAGTTATTCCTTCGTTTCATTTTATTATGTTCAGAACACTGTCGATTGAATAATAACTGATTTGCTATATAAATTCCCTTATATATAGAACTGAAACATGTTCGGTCGTGTCAATTCCATGGATGTGCCTGCATAATGAAAATTCAAAAGCAGACATTCTCTCTACCAATCACAAATCATGATGAAATCGCTCACGAGAATGAATTTAGGAAACACGGAATTTTGTTCGGTGGCCAGTCAAAAAGAGGTTTACTAGTAGGATCTAGCGGATCGGAAAAAACGAATGTGATGATATCCTTAATTGAACATCCAAATGGTTTCCGTTACGAAAATATTTATTTGTAATCTAAATCACTCCATCAGCCAAAATATCCATATCTGAAGACATTATTGACACCGTTGAAAGAAATAGGCTACATGGAATATAGTGACAAAGATGATATAATTGCACCAGAGAATATTCGAGATAATTCCATAATAATATTTGACGATGTTCCTAGCTGTGACCCAGATTTGATGAAGAGTTACTTTTGCTTTGGACGACATAGAAATACAGATTGTTTCTATTTGTGTCAAACTTATTCTGCCGTTTGCAAACAATTTATTCGAGATAATGCGAACTTGATTATTGTCTTTCAACAAGACATGACCAATTTGAAACACATTTATGATGACCATGTGAATATTGATATGTCCTTTCAACAATTTGCGCACTCTGCTGGGGCGAAAAATTGAGCTCGGGTAGATACCGCAAAGGGTTCGATGAGTCCATTCATATATAAATGGAATCATTTTCGAATCATGTTTATTCATGATGAATAACTGCACGGTAGCGGAGCTATTGAAAACACGGAAGGCTTTGAAAAAAAATATAGAACCTTGAAAGGCGATATTGTGAAATTTCAATCTGATTAAGAGGAAACCTATCAGCCTATTACGCAACTTCTCTAAGAATCACTCGCAACCATTGGTAAATCTGATCACGGAACGTTCGTAAAAAATGAGCCGAAACGTGAATTTAGAGAAGAGTATTACCGTACGGCACCAACTATGGATTTGGACGATGAAGAAACATTTCTACACGACCCCTCATTAGTAAGACCAGAATATGAGGAAAGTTTCTTTGAAGAAGATTGGATTCAATGGCGCAACATGAGAGATATTTAGAACAATTCAATTCTCCACTACCTATGGCATATATTGACGATAAGATACTGGGTACTGAAAATACTTTTGATGATACTTTTGGTGTTTATTTTGATCCGTTCACAAAGAAATATGCTATTGGTGATTCTACGATAGATTTTGACGGCCCTGATTTCATTATAAATGGTACTTTGAAATATAAGGGTACTCCTGGATTATATGAGCTCATGTTCAAAAAATATCCTACTGGTATGAAAAACAGTCATATAGATCAGTATATTGATAAAGTTCGAAGAACCAAGACACATTATTCAAGCTATAATCCTGTGAAATGGCTATCTACATCAAATTCGCAAAAATTCATTGACATTATCAAACCAAGAATCACTACGCTACATTCCATGAATTTGAAGAAAACTGTGAAAAACAAGACCTCTAAGCCCACATCAATACCTCCAGTTGTTCGAGGGCAACCAACAAGACCAAGAAGTGGTTCCACTCCTTCGATCATAACGACAAGAAGCTGAACAAAACAGGGAGGAAAATTGACCATGATGCAACTGAACAAAAAACCTGCGGAATATAAATATTTTAACGACTTAAATGAATTAGTAGATAGACTAAGGCTTCTAATTGCTTCTGAATCGGCTGGTGATACTGGTCACAATAATGAGATCATTTCTATTATTGAAGAGCTTAGGGAAGGCGAGATCATAAAATAGATTGATAGTTATTATTTTGAGTCATTCTGATTATATCACTGTAACGATGCCGATCGATAAGTTTGGAAGACATCTTTTTAACAAAAACCGAAATCCTAGCACATCTCCAGAAGAACCATTATTGGCATCAACGCAGCCTATACAGTTACAATCGCCTTTCTATATCTGTCAACCAATATCTTACCATAGTAAATGAATAATTACTCTTCGTGGATCAGGTTCAGGTCAACAAGTTCCAGGAATGGTGGAAAAAAACTGGGTCTTCTTACAAGAAAACAATAGTGGATCATATGTCTTTCCGGTATCTGGAAAGATTGAGAAAATTGATGTTTTACCAAAGGATACAACAATTATGTTGGGGAATAATGACATACAGGTGGAAGAATTGATAGAAAATGAGATAAATAAAGGTGACACGATCTCATTTGCCTCTATCAAAAGAGATCGATTGGGTTCATTGTATGCTCAAATAGTGCTCCAGTGCCCATTAACTGAGAATGAGTTGTGTCAAAGAATCAGTCTTAAACGAATTACATAAGCCTGCTAGGAAAACATTTAGAAGACGTCGAGTGATAGTGAAAGGTTTGAATGACTTGTATCAGGCTGATCTAGTTGAAATGATACCCTACGCAAAAATTAATGAAGGATACCGCTACATATTAGTTGTAATCAATGTTTTTAGTAAAATGGTATGGTTAAGACCGGTAAAACGTAAAAACGCAAAAGATGTCACAGAAGCAATGAGAGATATCCTTGATAAAGTTGAAATCAAACCTAGAAATATTCAAACTGATATGGGGAAAGAATTCTACAACAAAGATTTCAGATCGTTGATGGAATCTCTCAACATTAATCACTATAGTACATTTTCAAATCTGAAAGCTAGTGTGGTTGAGCGGGTGAATCGCACTTTGAAGAATTTAATGTGGAAGAAATTCAGTTTGCAGGGTACTTATAAGTGGTTGAATATTCTCAAGGAGATAGAGTATGTATATTGTCACGGATGGGACCACTCAGTATTTCAGTCAATACACCTTCAGATCCAGGTCATTTCAAATAATCAAACAATTAAATTTTAATCCACTGCAAATAATTTGATGGCGTCGACAAAAATCGACCGGTTTGCAAAACATGAAATTGATCGTTGAACTCAGGAGTTCCACGAACTGGCACCAATTTAGGTAGTTTTGAGAAGTTTTTAGCAAACAAAGCAAACCGTTCGCACATAAATACGGACCACACTGCGTGGCCGGGGAAGCATTCCGAATTCATTCAGAATTCAGTCTAGATGTGATTCAGAAGTCAGTTGAAATTTAGCCGAGATTTCTCCAAATTCATTCGAAATTCAGTCGAGATTCATTCCAAATCCAGTTCAAATTCTAAATCAAATAAATTGAGTGGTGTTGGTATCGAGATTAACGAGATGACCCATCCAGGACACATCATTCCCCCGGCGAGAGTATTGGCAGTACTGGTAGCAATGTAAGTACCTCGATCATTTGTTTTCAATATTAATTGGCCCCATACTAAGGGAAAATAGGGATCAGTACTCACTTTGAACGCTGCTGATC